GCCTGTGCCCTTAGGGTCAGACTGCCACCCTGAGCTCATTAAGGATGCATGAGGTTCAATTTGTGAGTGAGACCAGGAGGCAGCTGGGTCTATAATAAACTCCCCCTCCTGCCCTGGCCGGCCAGCAGGGTAGAAACATTAGGTGGTGGCCAATATCACTTATTTATTACCGAGCACTTAGGCAGCTGTTCTGGGCTTCCGCCCAGAGCACCCTCCTCCCTCTTCCCATCTACCAGGCCCCTCTCCTTACCCAGCTGGCCTCCTCTCTGCTCCAGCCCATTCTGTCCTGAACTACCCATGCCACTTGGGGGTCACATGCAGAAGGCAGGCCAGCCACAGCCACACAGTGGCATCTGAGGCTGGGGTTGCCATTCTTACCCCGGCATGTCAGGCGTGAACCCTCTCGACAAGGGTAAGAGACTCACTGAAGGGCACCCAGTCGGTATGTGTTGGAGCCAGGACTGGCTCCCCGGTTGAGTTCATGAAATGTCCTGCTGTCTCCTCCCAGCCTGCGTGGAGGTGCACTGGGGGTGCAGGCAGGAGTAATCCGGCCCCAGCAAGGTCAGGGGCCGCACGAGGGCTCTGCTTCAGAAGCCAGCCTCACTCATGGCCACTGGAGACGGCAGGTCTGGCCTGAGACTGCAGCATGGGCTTTGCTCCCTTCTGACTGTGTTTCGGGGTTCTGAGCCCCCAGCTTCTCTGGGCTGCCGCTGCCCTGTTCTCATAGTGGGATCATAACCAGGGCACTGTCCTGCCTCGTGAGGCTGTGGGCCCCATGCGGTGTAAGGAGGGAGTGGCTCTGAGGAGCCCTTACAGTCGCTGGCTACTGTTACACCCTTGTCATCAGAGCATGGAACTCTGGGAAACTGGGATCTTCTGAAGGAAGGCCTGACTCTCACTCTGGGTTCCCAAAAAGCTCAGCTCCTACCCCCTCCACTCCCAGGAGGCCCAGCCAGAGGGGCAATCAGCCAGCCCCTCTCCCACCTTTGTCTTATTGTCCTTGAGGGCAGAGCCAGAGTCTGAGGGACCTTCTTGTCTAGAGCCTCAGGCCCAGAGAGGGAAAGGGGTTGACCCAAGGTCACACAGCAATCCAGTTCCAGGCCCCTTGCCCTGTGCTGCTGGCACTGGGGTGTGGGGCCAGCTCAGTGGAGGACAACAGACACCCCAACCTTCTCCCTGAGTGAATGCTCGCAGCAGGGTTCACAGGCAAAGCTGCTTCTCCCAGGATTCCCTTCGAAGTGAGGTGAGAAGACAGCAGGGTGTGTGTGGTGGGGGGGGTGGGCAGGGGGAAAATGGAGGAAGCTTCTGAAGGCCCAGAGATTGGACTTGCAGGCCCGAGGGATGACCGAGGCCCTGCCAGTTCACTCCGTGCCCAGGATTGGGCCCGGGGCTGGACCAGGAGTGGGGGGTTGCAGTCACCGTGAAATGGTTATCCTGGCCAGCTGGGAGCATTTGGCTCTACCCAAACCATGCTCACGGTTTCCTTCTCCAGCTGAGGAACCTGAGACCTGGCAAGGTGAAATGGCTGTCCCAAGGCAGCGCTGCTTTGGTTCTGCCCTGACTGAGCCCGGCTCTGAGGGCCCTCGGAGTCCACTCGGCTATCTTCATGTGCACCTCCGGGCACACCCGACACTGGGACTCAGCATCTGTCTCTCTCCGGCCCCCACTGCCCTCCCAGGAGGGGCTGCACTGTGCCTCGGGTCCGTTTCCCCTTGCCCTCTGGGCTCTGGTCAGAGCCTGGCCCCAGTGGGCACACCTGGTTGCGGGGAAACATCCGATCTCACACGCTGTCCTGCCTCCGCCCACCCGCCCCAGGCTGCATCAGCAGCTGCGGGGCTGAATAATTCATTGAACCTTGTTTATTCTTCCCTTCCTGGCTGTGAGAGGCTCTCAAAACCCCACCACAGCCCCAACCCGGGTCCAGCTGCCCTGGCCTTCACCCACCTCCAATGCGGCCACCAGAAAGCTGCTCCAGGACTGGGCCATGGGCCTTGGCCATGAATTATGCAGGCCTCCTTTGGCTGGAGCCGTCTGGGCCACAGTCCGTCCTGTTGGTGCACCTGGAAGGAGCTCGTGGGAGGCAAAGATGGAGATGGCTCCATCCCTGCCTCCGTCTGAGCTGAACATCACGTTCTGCAGGATCAAGTCATCTGCCAGTTGTGCGCTTGGGGCAGAGTGCGCCGCACTGAGAGCCCCCCAAGCTCGAGTCAAAGACCTGCACGCAGCCCACCCTCAGTGCTTGGGTGGTGGCTTCCATCACCTGTCGCTCATCGAAGGGGTGACCCACCCTATTGGAGGGGCCAAGACAGCCCCTGAGGAGTCAGACAGCCCAGGTGCAAAGCCTGACCCTTCTACTTTGCAGCTGAGTGGCCTTGGGCAAGGTCCTTAACCTCCCTGGGCTCGGTTTTCTCATCTGTAAAATGGGGACAGCCTGGGTTCCCACCCAGCAGGCGGGCTGGGCAGAGTGACACACACGACGCCACGTTGCCGTTGCTGGGTCATTTGTCTGCCTCTCCCGCCACCCCGCCAGCCTTTTGTAAGAAGGTCCTGGATCATTTTTGCCCCCAGCATCTCCAAGAACTGGTCCTGAGATGGCTCCTTGTAGATGCTTGGTAAATGCTTGTTGAATGAATGAATAAATGAATGAGTGAGTGGAAGATTGCTCCCCCGAGATGCCCCGGGCTGATTTATGAGGCAGTGAGAAAGAGCCTGATGGCTGGGAGTGCCCCACGGGGTCGTGATTTACGCAGAGTGGATGGAGGCCTCGGGGAGAGGGAGGCTCTTTCGAGCTCCTCCCCTCTCATGAAGCAGCTGTGGCTCTAGGAGTCGATGAACACATGTGGGGTATCGGAGGTGGTGGTGGGAGAGGATGCTGATGCTGGTGCTGATGAAGATACAGGAATAAATCCTGTGATTTGAGGGGGGTGAGTGCCAGAAGGCAGAAGAAACAGCTGATCCACTGGGCCAGCCTATCAGGCAGTGCGCTCCTCACGGTCAAGGACACAGGGCTTCCCCTCTGTGTTCTTGGTGCCTGGCATGCAGAAGGAACTCGATAGAAGTTCACTGGATACGTGAGCATCCTTAGTCCCCAGGCAATCGGGCAGACGACACAGGACTTCCTCCCTTCCTAAATCTGTGTCCAAACTTCCCAATCTGCCCTGAGCCAGCCTCAGTTTCCAGGCCATAAAAACATGAGTCACTCCTCTTCCCTTGCTAACCTCATCCAAATTGGCTGGTCCCGGCCCCACTCGGCCTGCCCGGCTGGACGCCTGGCCTCCAGGCGTCTGGCAACCGCAGGCCGGGAGGTGCTGCGCCCACCCTGCTGAGTACTGAGAAACTATTTTGATAATTCTGCTGCTTTTGGAAAGACAGCTTCCAAGATCAAGGCCAGGTGGTGCTGGTCTTTTTTTGGAGGTGCTAATTAATAATTTAACTTCACATCATAATAATTTTATTTGGTTGCAGTTAGTGGATTTATGATTATCTCATCCATCCGGTGTCTAGTGCTTGGCCCCCAGGGTCCCTCCTGCTGTTTACTGGAACCGGCCACTGGAGGAATTTCCCCACCGGGAGAGGAGCCCGGGAGAGGCACCTGGGCAGGGGGGGCTCTCCGAAACCCTCACCTCAGCCAGGCTGCTGTGGTCTGCGGGCTGGACGGGCTTTCTGAAATCTCTCAAGGGCTGGTTTTTTGGCTGGTTTGGTTTGGTTTGGTTTGCTTTTGACCTGGGAACAGAGGATGGAGCTAGCGACCTTGCAGCTTCGGTCACCTTGGTTTCTGTGGGAACTGGAGACGGAGAAGCCCAGTATCAGCCCATCATCAGGCTGAGAGAATGTCACAGCTGGCCCCATGCCGCTGCCCTCCACAGAGAGGGACTGAGGGTTAGACACTGTGAGGGACTAGCTTAGGTCCCAGAGCCTGTCCCAGAGACTGTCCCAGAGCCCGGCCCTCCAATACACCCCCCTCCTGGTCTGGTCCTCTAATACATGCCCCCTGTGTGCTCCCTGCCCTACCCTTCATGTCCCCTTCCCTGAACAAAGAGCCCAGGAGTTTTGGGGGGAGTGGTCCAGGAGCATTATGACTGGTGATGAGGGGTGAGCCTGCAGCCCCCTCCTCCCGGAGCCTGGGGACCAGGCCCTGACTAGCTCTCCCGCCAGCAGTGAAGACTGGAGGATAAGCCCCCAGAAGACTGGCAGCCGGGGCTGGGCATCCTCCTAAACGTGTGCAGAACCCCCCTGTGGCCTGGCTTCGTGTGCCCTGTGTCTGGTGGATGATACTGGCACCTATCATCCAGAAGTGGGTGTGACTTAGGTTCAAGGGCGTGGGGGAGGAGGCGGGGCCAGGCTCTGAGGGGCCACCGTGGAGGTCATCTTCATTCTCTGGTGGATGTGGAGCCTGGAGTGACTTGACCACTAGGGAAGTCGCTTTGCCTTTAGTGGCTGCGGCTAATTTCCCTGTGACAGTTGGGAGAGAACTCAGGGAAGAAGTTGGAGGCAGTGTCCTTGCCCAGGGAGGGCACAAAGCTCTGCGGCGCCTCCTCTGGCCGCTGGGTGGGACTGCAGAGCTGCTGGGCTCCTCATTGTCCTCTCCACCAGAAGCTGGGCTAGTGACCAGGCCCCACTTTGGCCTCTGCCCATGCTAATGAGATGCTAATATCGAAGGCCAGATTGGCTGCAGCATCAAAGTGTTTGGGGACCCTCCTGACAGCTTGAGAAGCCCCCAGCCACCGTGGGCAGCTTGAGCTCTAAGCCAGGATGTTCTCCCAGCAATTGTACCTGTCAGTTCTCATTATAGCTGATGCCCACAGTACCTGCAGGGACATAAATGGCCTCGTTCTCCCCCAGAGCTCCCAGGGACGCTGGTGCCTGGTCTCGGCAGGTCCCTGGCGACTGCGGAGGCTTCATTGGTGCCAGGGTCAGATCTTGCCATTCAAGATCTTACAGGACCCCTCCTGCTCAGATCCACACGGTGACTTTTCTTGGTTTTGATTTCTCCTACCCAGGGCTCAAGACAGTTTGCGTTCGGACAAATCTTCATTGTGACGCAAGCCTTCTCCTCTGGATGCTTAGAATTCAAGGACCGTAGAAGGTCAGACCAAACAGTCATTAATGATTGGAAAATGCGGGGTTTTTTTTTTAAGACTTGTTTTTTATTTGCTTAAAAACTGTCGGAATAAAGTATATGCAAATTGAAAAAATTAAAATACCAAAAGGTTTATAATACAAAACACTCACTGTCCCCACCCTTCCTACCTCCACTCCCGCTCTCCTGGGGACGGCACGTTTTAAACCCTCTCAGCTGCTGCCTCTGCTGTCTGCCCTCAGGTTTCTGCAGAAATGGCCTGCACTGCTGTCAGCTGCTTGTGCCCCTGGAGACACCATCTATTGTCCCCCCCATTCTGGGGGACGAGGATTTCACTCCGTTACCCGCCCACTCCGCGCCTCCCTCCTCACAGTGTTCCTTCTTGTCGAATCTAGAACGTTATTATGACGATGCAGATGTGACTCACTTCAGCATCAAGGATAACGAACCGTAATTTTTTCTTTCTCACGTATTTTTTTCTGGTGTGGCCAAGAGGGCACTGGTCAGATATCCAGCTGCTCCCCTACGTTTCTCAATTTCCCTCCCAGTTGGGTCAAGGCCCCGCAACTAGACCGAGCCTTTGGCTCGGAGCCTGTGAGCCTCTCCCTCCTCTCCCTTCGCCAGAGAGGAGACAGGGTGTGGGCCGTGGGTTCCACGTCCACAAATACGAAAAGAAGGGCTGGCTGCTCAGTGGGAAACATGATGTGAGTGGGAAGTAAACTCTGAGCCTCTATGGTGGTACCCAGTAGTAGCTCTCTGGATAAATATCCCCAAAGGTAGCAACGAGCTCATGTTTGCAATTGCATCTTTTTCTTAAATGTTTCCAAACGGTGCGTCAGATCTGCCACATTATTATTAGTTCTTTTGTTCACAGAAGACTGTTCTACACCAGTGCATCTACCAATCCCTTCTCTTTCTCTGGATTCTGTCCTCCGGGGCCCCTGAGTTTCCTGGTTCAGTCGGGCCTGTTCCTCTCCAGGCCTGCTGCACGGTTGCCAGCCCTGGGAGCTCCCTCTGCCAGCCTCCTGGGCCGAATTTCCTGTTTCCTGGATTCTATTTTTTTTTTTTTTTTTTGGTTTAGTTCCCACTTTTGCTGGAGCGAATCCTCTGGAAGCTTAATGAGGAAAAGCGTATGCAAAGTGAGTTTCCCGAATCCTTACATACCTAAAAAATATTCACATTCTCAACTTTTACCTTAATTGCGTGTCTAGATATGGAATGCTATACTGAAAACAAATTTCTTCGAGAATTTAAAGCCACTTTCCTGTTACCCAGTACCCAGAGCTGCCCCTGAGAACTCTTGCAGCCACCTTGACTCGTGCCCTGTTGTATGAGACCCGTTTTATCTTGCTGAAGCGTTTAGGGCCATCTTTTTGTAGGTTCTGATATTTTACAATAACATGTCTTGGGGATGGATCCATCTATTGTTCTGGGCACTGGGTAGGAACGTGAGGCCCTTTAATCTGGAGACTCATGCCTTTTAGTGCTGAGAAACTTACTCGAACTATTTCTTTGATAATTCTCCTCCTATTTTCTCTGTTAATTGGGTACCAGTTCCTGGGTTGACATGTGCATCGGCCAGGGTTGTAATGATGCTACCAACCAACCCCAACCCTGGAGGCTTGCAGCATAAGGACTTGCACTCGTGCATCTGTGGCTGAGGGTCACTGACTGAGGCCAAACTTGGCGGAGTGGCTGATGGTGACTGGTTTACACCCCGGAGTGTGATAGGGGGTGGCTGACCTGGGATGGAGGGGAGGGGTGGAGCGCTCCTCTCTCCAAATGCTTCTCACCCTTGTGGTGGGACCAGGGGGCTAGGACTGGTCTCGTGGAGATGGTCGGGGAGCAAGAACCCAATGACATAAGAGTTCTTAAGCCTTTGGTCATATCCCACTACCCCCTTCCCTGTGCCCACCCCCCAACATCAAATGGCAGAACTCAAAGTCAAGAGGCCTCTTCAGTTGGGGGACCTGTAACGTCACCTGGGAAAAGATCAGCTACTGGGGGGAGTGAAGAACCTGGGCAGTCAGTGCAGCCACCACTTTACTTTAAATGGTGCGTTTGTCTTTTTCCCACACTGGCCACAGTGATCTACTTTCTAGAAGGTTTCGTCGACACCTTTTTACAGCCCGTGTTGTGCATTTCACTTCTGTTTCAAAGTTCTAGAGCTCTTTCTTGTTCTCTGTTTTTTTCTTTTTCACAGCATTCTACTCTTATTTTATGAATGCAACACATTTTCTCTCTCTGCTTGGATACTTGCTAGAGGTTTTCTATAAGATCTTTTGTGTTCGTTGCTTGCTTAAAATTCTTTCCATTCTCTCCTTTTCTCCCTGGGTTGACTGCCGATGGACCTTCTCTCGGCTTGCTCTCTCAGCGGCTGGGACGGCACAGGGCACGGGGGCGAGAGTGTGACAGAGTGTGACAGAGTGCCTAGGGCCATCGCTCACTTCTACAGCTCACGAAGTAGGTGGCAGCACTTGAGCTTGGCCTCTTTCCTCCTCAGAGTCCTGGCCTGCTAAGCGGGAACAGGACGAGCAAGCTGCCCCACGGAATTGTTGGGGGAAGAGCCCCCGCGTGGAAAGCACTTGGCAGCATCGCTAGAACACAGCGCGGAGCCCTGGTTGTCAGCTTCCCACGCCGGCTTCTCTCCTCCAAATCCGACTGCAGTTTCGCATCCAGTGGGGAAGCTCGTGGGAGGGTGCACTTTAGTGGAGAGCATGGGACTGGGAGCCTGCTCTTGGAGTTGGACATCATACTGCATCTTAAGATTTTCCTTTCCCTATCAGAGCAGTTTTCCCTGTGAAGATGGCGGCGCGGAGGTCTGTGGCTGACAAGGCGAGGGGCCTGGTGCTCCCGGCGATTTCCGACCAGGCCTCACTTAATCCCAGTTTCCAGCTCCTGGCCTCGCTTTCGGCCTCAGGCGTTGGCCCCTGAGCTGCCAGGGTTTGCTCTCACTTTGTGTATGTGGTGGGGCGGTGGGTGCAGGGGACGTGTTTTTAGGAGAGAACAGTGACCTGGAAGCCAAAGCTGCATGATGCACAAAGCAGAGGAGAGCAGAACCGCCCTGGTGCAGCCCGGAAGCCCCCGCTGCCTCCCCCCACGCCAGCCTCCTTCTGAGACATCGGTTTGGAGACCCTGAGCCACCGACACCCCTGCCCTCACAAATGGCCAAGCCCCGCTGGGAGAGGCAAGTGTCTGGACCTTGACCTCTGACCCCCCGCTCTGGGTTCTCCCCCTCACACCGTGTTACTTCTGAGTCCAGGGACATCCATTTCCCTGTTTTTAAAAAGTTCGTCTCAACTTCCTCTCTGTGAACTCTTTCTCAGTCTGGATTGTCCTGATTCGAGCTGCACGTTCTGTTTTCATCGCTGCCACCTACAGGGACGATGACAAGGGCCACACAGCTGCTTGCTGCTTGCTGGGTGAAGGAGATCTACCGTTTATTTGTCTGAAAACACGGTCGTCGCACAGTTCGCTTGCCCCAGCCCACAGAGCCTCTGCTCCCCTCACCTGCACCCCACACGTGCCCCCAGCCTCCCAGGCTATGGGTTCTGACAGCCAGCCAGGGCACGGGACGCCTCCGCCCACCCATCTCCCTGTCTCTGCGGGGCCTTGAGCGTGTGACGTGGTCCCTTGAGCTTTGTTTCTTCATCTGTAAAATGGGCGGATGGGGTGGCCTCCCCGGGTTAGGGGGACATATACTAACGGAGGCCTTGGCTGGTGCTGGTCACAGACATAGCAAGTGGTTCAATACACCTCAGCCACTGTTACTGTGTGTGCATTTATTGTAAACACGTGCCGTCCTGTCTCCTGGTGTAGGTCTAAGTTCTCTACTGGATGGTGGGCCTCAGCTCTGACTCCACGTTAGAGTCACTTGGGGGTGGGGGTGCTTTTGGAAAATGTGGCTGCCTGCGCTCTGGGTCAGAGCAATGGACTGAGCATCTCTGGGACCCAGGCACGGTCAGTGGTGGGTGCTTTCAGGAAACCAGGACTGAGTGTGCCGAGCTGGTCCACAGGCGGCCTGAGCACCCACACCTGGCCAATGTTCACGTCACATGTAGCACCTAGCGCCCGGGGGTTCCCTACCCGTCGCATGGATGAGCAAGTGAATGAGTGTGAGAGACACATCCGAGGTGGAACGCGAGGATCTCTGTGGACACGGGCTGTTCACCGAGGCTCACCAAGCTCAGACCTGGTCGGCTGATCGGGGGCCCTGGGGAGCCTGCGTGTGCCTGAGTGTGGAGCTCTGCACCCAGGTCTGGGGCCACATTTGCATGTGGTCTGGGACTCACAAAGTGCTTTTACTAGACCTCATCACAATCCCATAGATGGGTGCTTCCTCTTACTCTTCCTAGTGACCCTACTGTATAGATGCGGACTATGGCCCGGAGACATCGGGGCTTGTCCACGGCCCCCTGGTCAGAGAGCTGCCGGCCAGGCCGTGGGCCTGTCTGTGTGTCCTGACTCGGTCTTGTGCTTGCTCCGTGTCTCTGGCATGAGGCTCAGAGGCAGTCACCCGTCCTCTGACAGAGTCATGCGGAGGGAGGCAGAGGGGTGGGGGCCCCTGCGGGAAGCTGGCTCCAGGCCCTGGCTCCTGGGGAAGCTTCAGGAGCGGTGGGATCCTGTGTGCATGCCACTGTGTGACAATACATGTGTGACACCCCATGTGTGACTATGCTTGTGTATTTCCTGCTGCCTTGTGTAGTATGTGTCCCTGCCGTGTCCCTGCATGGGGCACACGTTGGTGTGTTGCTGTGTTGAGCCTGAGTTGCCACCTCAGAAGCCCCTTGAGCTCCTCAGAGCCTGCTCCTGCGGCCATCAGGAGACCTGCCGCCAGCGGGGAGGTCAGAGACCCACGTGGCTGCCCCTGCCCAGGAAAGGGTACAACAGAGAATGTCCTCTCCCCCAGGATGAGGTCCAGGGCACCCCTCTGTCCAGCACCCCGCATCTTTCCTCCCCCTGGACCTGCTTCTTTCCAGAGATAAGAAGCAAATGGTCCGCTGCAAAGCGGAGGCTGCCTGTGGCTTTTCCTGTCCTGCCCGCCCCCCACCCGCCCCATCGCCTGGTGCCTGCTGAGCCTTCCCGTCTGCCAGGCTCGGCTTCTGTGGGAAACTTCCCTGGGCACCTTTACTCCCGGCTGTGTGTTAATTGCTTTGGTTCCAGCCTCCCATCCACCTCAACTTGTGACAGGGTCACCTTGCCACATTGCTTTACCCCGGTCCAATAGCGAGTGGAAGAGACAGCCAGGGGCCAGGGGAGCAGGGGGAGAGGTGCCTAGGCCAGGGCTGTGGCCACCACAAGGTGGACACTAGGCATGAGGACCTGCACACCCAAATCGGGCCCCCACCCCCGCTTCCTGCCTCTGCTCCCATAACTAACTGCACAGAAGACCATCTCGGGGGTTGAAGGTCCTGGAGAAGAGATGACCCCCGGTTGCCCAGAATCTGTAGGGGGTGGGGCCAAGCTCGTGTCAGGTCAGGGGAGGGGCCTTTTCCAGGGGACAGCGTGAAGGGGAGAATGGTGGCCCAGAGGGCCATGGACTCATCTGCTCGAAGGCGGGGGGATGGTTCCAGTGGACCCAGCTCTGCCGCCTGTGGCCTCCGGTTAGTGACATCAGTCACTCTATCCCCTCCCTCAAATGAGACAGTCCTCTTTCCCCAAATTGCCCCCTCCTAACCCCATTCTCGTCCCCTGCCCCCCACAGCAACCACTCACAGCTTCAGCCTTCTGTCCGTGGGTAACGAGGGCTCCTTCCTGCAGCCTCGTCCAGGGCCTCACTGTGCCAAGGGTGAACTGGAGCCCAAGGCAGGGGTTCTTTTCTTCAAGGGCACGTGGTCTTAGTTCTAGTCCGGACCCTGCGCCCACCCTGCTGCGTGGTGCCGCGTACGCCGCTGCTCCCCTCTGTGCTTGGATTCTGCACCAGTTAGAAAATCAAAGGCTTTGCATCACCCCACATTTCTTGCTGGTGCACAGCAGTGGGGCTCCAAGGCTCCCCTGTGCAGGGCCCCAGGCCCCCTGGGCCGTCCAGCCTAACAG